GAATGTGAAAAGATCGTGGGTTCAGTTTAACATCAAAATTACATCCCAAGTAAGGGATGCGCGATAGACTTACTTCCACTTAGTGCACCCTGGGTAACGTATGCTCATACGGCAAAAAAGTCTATAAACTGGCAGTTGACTTCTGACTTCAAACTACCATCACCCCACTGTATGCCATATTCGACTACCTCCACAGCACTCACCTCACCTTTTTCCTACCGTTGTGTCTGTCTCATTTGCCTCTTTGAATCCCTCTTCTGCTCTCCCTCTCGAATTTTTCTCACTTTGATGTTCCTTTCCCTCTGTGAAGCCCGAAGTCAACTAAAGGGCTAATGATAACCATCAAAACGTCTACCATTTGATATAAATAAATACATCCCAAGTAAAAACTTTTGGAAATGAATAATGAAATTTGGGTATCGTATTGTAAGTCCCCATTCTGCTAATTAAATGAAGTGGTTAATGGAAATTATTTACATATAGCCAAGGAGCATGTCAAAACCGTAATTAAATAGTAATACTTTTCTTAATAATGAATTTGAATTGGCTTATTGTAAAATCTTGGTTAAATTAAAATACACACCTAAGTCCTTTGCAGTTGTGAAGGGTTTATTTTATAAATCAAATCTGGACAGCTTCAATTACCAGTATAGCGTTTTACCGTCACAAATTCAACTCATTAATTGAGCTGAATTTTAGTATTGAAGATGAGTAGATGGCATATTTGAACTTTTCTCAGTCCACATGAGTCTGACCTCTTGAGATTTTATAAAGTGCGCGCTTTAAATCAAGGTTATATGCTTGGGGTTCTATATTTCCAAGTCCCAATTACCACACATACCCCTAATAAGATGCATAGTTGGATTTAAAATATCATAATTACTGGTCTTTGCACTTTATTTCTACTTTGGGTCATGATACGAAACACTAATGAGGGTTCAAAAAAGTAACACAGTTGGCATTGTAACATATTCATATATGGATAAAGAATAATAATGACAACGCAAGTGGCAACGTGGGAAGCAGTAGTATAAGACTTTAAGTAGTATAGATAAGAAAGTGTGGGGGTGGCGTCCGGTAGGCGCTTAAAGCATTTATTTGTACACTCAATGAAGTAAGGAAAAGGTGATCAGCTGAGTGAATTAATGTAAATATAGAAAGGTATAAACAGAGGATTAGAAGTGGCCTCTTATGTGAAGGATTTGGGGTAAATCAACTCCACGTCGTCAAGTTCGCGAGCCATTTTCTTGATGTATGCCATGATGCAAACTTGGAATGCTCCGGTTGGAACCTGCTTAGTACGAAAAAGATCACGAAAGAGAATCTCGCAGAATTCGATAGCCTTATCTACTCTTTGGCTGGAGATCAAGCGATCCTATTTAAGGAATAAATAATCCGAGTAATAAAATATAATCCCAAAAAATGTTTAGTGAAACATTATATAGATTTTATTGAGCATTGAAAATTAAACTCAGATGGTTTTTTTATTAAATTTTTCCATTTTATCGTTGAACGAAAAAAGATTTAAAGATGCTACGGCGCTTTCGTATGACCTGATATATTTGTGAAGGATTATCTAGATCGTTTCAATTAGCTCTATTTTCTTTGTGCTACCTCAAATAGATGAGAATTAACAATGATTTCGTATGCTTGAACCGTCATTATTTAAAAAAAACTTTAATTAAATTTAGATATTATTGTCAATATTGCCTAATTAAAGTGTTTTTAATTCATCTTTTATTTTTTATTCTCCGTATAATATTATGTTCCTCAACGATCTGTCATTTAATTTGACTAATGCCAGTATAAAGAAATTTTTAATGAATTTTAAGGTTGAACAAATTACGTATGATATAGTAAAAATTTCATAAACGAAAACTTTTTTTCCCAATAATTCACTTTTTAATCATAGGGTAGTATTTAAAGATTTTGGAACCTGCAAAACGATTGTCGACACCAAAAAAATTTATCACACAATATTTTAAATAAAGTGCAAGAGTAAAATTGACCTACTGAAAGTCGCTCAGGCATAACCACAGCATCGGTTGAAGCGATAAGAAAGAAGACAACTGCAAAACCGGCTAAAAAGTAAGCAGACATCTCAAAAGCAGAATTCGTTTTAAAACTTGCGATAGTCGAAGCAGCTTCTCAATAGCCGAAATGACAGCCGGGAAAGACCTATCAATTTATTTTTACAGGGCGAATCTTTTATAGCACCTATCTTATTTTGTGATTGGCTGATTTAGCGTGAGTTTGTGAGCGGATGGTCAGGCAGAACTGATCAGGATTTCGGCTTGCCTTGTTGGCTGTTTTGTTTTCATTTCATATCAGCTTTATTAAAAAACCATACTTTCCTGCGTTGTACATGCAGAGTCGAGAGATATATATTCATTCATTATTTAAAAAACGAATTGAAAATTTTGATGCATGGTAGAGGTAATAAAATAACCTTAATTATCTCGTGATACTTTTAACAAATTTTTGGTGGAAACAGTTATTATAAAGCATTTCAAGAACCGAAAAGCAATCCCCATTCGGAACCTACTATCAGCATGTATAATAAGTCAATGCTTGTTTCAAAATATGGTTTTGCATTTGTAAAGGTCAAATGAATTTTGTTTAAATTCGGTAGTAAAGCCCACGTCTGAATTAACTCAAAGTGAAGTGTTAACTGTGTTTGCAACAAATTTTGCGAAATTTAATTTTAGTGGACGAAAGATAAAAGTCATATTTGTTATACTAACTACAAATGTTAGTAAAAATAATTCCTCTAGTCATCACGTTCATCTTTGATTAAGAGGAGATCCAAGCGACCTGCTATTTCAAAATTATCTCGGCAATATTTCAAACAACTCTCCTATTGGTGCATTTCATCTAAACTGATATCCTTAAATTCAACAAAAATTTTATATTTAAGCATTCTTTATACACTTGAAACCCATTTACGATTATTAATCAAATCGCTTTTTGCTATTCAGAAATTATTTAAAAGAACAGAATTGTTCAATTTCAATCCATTTTTTTCTCCCCATATCAATTTTGTTATAACATTTATAAATGCTTGTAAATCGTGAGGGCGTTAGACTAGAGTCCTAAATTTATTCGATAATGCTAATTAAAGTAGCGGTCGTTTAACTTAACTCGTGAGCCCAATAACCTTCAAATTTTACTTCAATAAAAAAATATTATTCACTCTACAGATAAGAGAAGCCGTTTTGACTATTCAATTTTATTTAAGATAAAATATCTTATTCTTTATATATATATATATATATATATATATATATATATGCAGTTCAACGTGAGAAAATTGCGTTGCCTTTCGAAATCAATTTCAAGCACTTTTTAGCCCTGCTTTCTATCAATCTTCAAAATGCACATTCATTAATCCATATTAAAATCCCACAAGCTTCTCAAAATGAGGGTTTATAATAAAGTTCTATTTGTGAAAGTTAACTTCTTTTAAAACTTTAGGCAACAAATACTGGAAAAATGCATTTATTAGTGTTTGAAAAATTAGCTGATTAGTGGCCAGTAAGTTAGAGGCCAAGTTTTGAATAACGTGGTAGCTTTCTTTACTAATAGCCTTCATTTCGCAAGGTTTTAAAAATTTAAAATTGTGCAACTGAGACTGATTTTATCATGCTTATTCTTAAATGGCCTGCCAACACGCATGATTTAGTTAATCGCTGACAATCTGCCCCGAAATTAATACAACATCTATTTGCCTGATTTATTATTTATTTACTTATTTCAAAATTGAGCATTATTTTTGATATTGATTTAGAGGAATAAAATCAATACGACAACAACAACAACACATTCAAATGTTGTGCAATAATAAGTTTCCTTTTATAAAAATCTAATCAATGTATATGATGTAGATTTATCTATTTATGGTATGTGTAACTTTTGAATATTAGCAAAAATATTCCATACACTAATCAGCAAAGATTTACTCATTTAATAACAAAATTTGAAAACCGATGTTTTAAATTGTATATAGAATTAAATCTTTAGAAATCGAAAGCGGAATTCAGAAAAGCAAAAGAAATAGGGTGTGAATACTTGTTTGAAAAATTGAATCTTCTTACAGTCGTGTAAATTATCGATGTAGAGACTTAGGTTGGTCTGGACAAAAAAAGAAACAGAGTGGTGACTTTTGAGCTAAAATTCGTTTCAATAAACTCATGAGGCCAAATTTAAAGTGAGCTTAGTCCAATGAGAAGTGCGGCTGAAGTGAATGAGGTGGTTACAAGTATAATTTCTCCTAGTGCGTAGTGGTGCGATTTTGGAGTAAACAAAAGGGAATGCAGACAACCTACTCGGATCGAAGTGGTACAATGATTGACAATGATGGGTCAAACGGATTCTCAGGTTCTCTTTGTTAGGTCATACGGGATTATTGAATGACAGTTAAGAGTATTCATTTTTTGATAAAAACTTAAATCAGCCTGATTAGGTCATAAGGACAAGAGTAAACCTCGTATACTAATTGGAAAACAGTGACTCACTACAATAGTTGCAGAAATTAGTTTAATTAAAATATGAATGCGAAAATCGATTCCACTTTAGATTAAGTAAAATTAGTTACTAAACGCTTCAATTCCATTCCTTGCTGCAAACCGTTTCCATTTGTGGCTTTTAAATTCACTACTCTGCGGCATTAATCAATAAACTGTCGATTAAGCCGGAAATGAATATTTAATGTTGATCTATTAATAGAAATAAATAATTGGATGACAAGTCACAGAGTATTTCACTTCCAGCTTAGATGGTATTTTTGGAATTAAAGCGTAATGAAAATTGATCATTGCGAAACAATTGCGAACTAACTTCTGCTTGTGTTGTCTTTTTGCTAATTCAAACTCGATTTGTAAATATTTATGCCAATAGAAAATTTGAGCATTTTTAATTAACACAGATTCACCAGGCGATTCTTATTACCTATATAGTTAAAAAAAGATTGACCATTTGCGCACTTCATCACAATAAAAAAAACTATTTATTAACCGATCGGAAGCAACTTCGTAACTTTTTTTTGACCAATGAAGAATTTATTTAGGCATATTGTCTAACGCTAGTCCAATTCAAAGTACTTATGTCTGAATTTCTTGATCATGGTTTATGTTTAATAAGACTGTTGATTGTCTTTCCGAAATACATGGCTAGGTCGCTCTGGGAAATATCATGTAACCTCAAAACATGTGGGTTTTTGTGTGGAGGAAGTCTCAAACTTCTAAGGTTTCCTTCTGGAGAGAAATGCATCTACCCACGAAATTAGAGTCTGATCTTTTTCTGAGTTGGATACAAAGATTTAAAACATTATCTTGATTCTCAAGGGGTTAAATTCTTAGCCTCTAATTTTATTATAGACAAAAGGCAATTAAGACTTTGTAAATTAGGCAAAAATTTGATTTACCTTTTTTGCATAAATACATTTTCGCTAGTATGCAATCGGATTCAATTAGCTTTTAAGTGAACTACTTAATCAGGGCCTTATGTTGATATGAGCATAAAATTCACCATCATTAAGTCATGCTTGATTAAGACCCTTTACTCTTGTAAATATTGTTCAAGTCAACAAAATTATTCATTACAAATGAATTTATTTAAATATTTCAGATAACTGGCTTAGTTCCTCAGTTAGTATCCACAATTGTCAGAGTGTATTAAAATGCTGCCAAAGCCTAGTGGTTTGTCAAAATTTTATTCTAATAGCCATGGCTAACGAATTGTTGGTGGTTAATGTGTTTGACGTTGTGGCTTTCACTAGTCTATAAGCTCTCAGTCTAAATTGTCACTGAATTGTGGCCAATACTGATCTAATACGACGTGATTAAAATTCGTTTTTACATTTTAGCGTTTACCTGAACTCTAATCAATCGATACACTTGAAGGATATCGGTTATTGATTTTCATTCGCCTCTTCCCCGACAATTCATAATTTACCTTGTAAAGCTGTGAACACTGAAATTATAAGACTGAAGATTCCCACACTCGAATCTTGCGTTCTCCCACTTTTTTCCTCTACCCTTCACCAGTTTTCACTCCCAATGAACAACTTAATTTGATCATTCTTCAATCTTGACTTTCTTACACTAGCTTATGCATCAGCTGTGGCTTTGGTGATATCATGTAATACCACGATTTTGAAAAAAATAATTGATCTAAGACGTGACTTAATAACTGCGGTTTTAATTAATCTGATTACCCTTATGGCGAAAAGTCATCCAAAGGGATATCATTCTCAAACCCTTTTAGTAAGGTATTTTCAGCACTCATTACATTATTGTCATTATTACTATTTCAAATGACAAGAGTTTTGAATGGTCATCATTTAGCTGACTTCGGGCTTAACAGAGGGAGGAATATCAAAGTGAGAAAAATTCAAGAGGAGGAACAAAAGAGTGATTCCCAGATGAAGAAGAGACAGACACAATGGTAGAGAAAAGGTGAGATGAGTACTGTGAAAGTTGTAGAATATGACACACAGTGGGATCATGGTTGTTTGAAGTGGGAAGTCAACTGCCGGTTTATATACATTTTTGTCTTATAAGTATACGTTGCCCAGGGTGTACCACGTGGAGGTAGGTTTATCGTACACCCCTCTCATAACATTATTATTCAATAGTCACCGAGCAGTTACATGTGCTTTTGCAGATAAGTGCTAACCAAGAAGCTTGTTAAATATGAACTTCGTTATGTAAGGAGAGGAAGAATGATATTCTCGAACAATCGTCCAAACAATTTTTAGATAATTCAATAAAACTAGACAGAAAACGGGATTTGTGAATCGCAAGTTATATATAGTAAAGAAATACTTTAAAAATGTCATGGAATAGGTCTGTGAATTGTAAGTAAATTTGAGTAATCGATTAATGCACCTTAAAAATAATAAAGTAGGCTTAATTGATGTGCCAATTCGATTGAACTATGAAGTGAGTTTATTTAAAAATCGCATACGACATAGGAATTAGGAAATAATAAGTATAAATTGAAAACAGTGGTGTATAAGAGAGCACGCTGTGAAGTTAAGTAGTTACCTTTGCTTAATCTGAACATTCTTGTTTTAACTGTGTTTCAGTTTTGAAGGTCAT